CCCCAGCCCAGTCTCCAAATTTCTGTACTACACCAACTGTTCCCAACCCTCTCCCTGGACACCCCCACCCCCAAAGCTGGCTTCCCCTGCCCGGCCTGTCAACATCGAGCGCCCTCGGTCTCCTAGCCGGGTTCATGGGACAAGTGGCCAGCCCCCCCCCCCTCCCAGATCCAAGGAAGCCGCGTCGGAGGCGGTGACGCCGGTCCCAAGGAGCTGGAGTCGGAGTGGCTGAAAATCTGGGTACGGGAGGTCGGCGTGGCCAAAGGGTATTCTTGAACCATAATGACCAAGACTTCCCTTCCTTTTATAACCTGCTTCTCCGTATCCATATGTCCGGATATGACAGAAGAGGCCAGCTCTGGGCCCCAGAATGAACGCAATGGACGGGAAGGGCCAGGTGTGCCTGTTGTGGAGTGCGAGCAACAGAATGACCACTGGAGTCCAAACCAATGAAAATTTAGGAGCCTTTATTACTGGCCGGTGACTGCTCACCCTTTCTCCACGCAGGGAGTCCAGAGCAGCCCCGACCTCGGGTGCAGAATAGCTTTTAAGCACTAACACCACATCCTAGTTGGCAAGCTAAATGGAACAACAGCAAACTTACATAACGCAGGTTTTCAGCTATCCTGGGGGCAAACTGCAAAGGTGATAAAACCACATCTTATGGGGTTGAGCTAGCAGCATGCTGTTTTATAATTTGTAGCTGGGGTCTGTAGCCAGTACAGCAGAGCTGAAAATGTCCCACTCTGCCACAGTGCCCACTCCTGGTCCAGAGAAAGATCCTCCGGGTTGGTGAGGGGGCGCCCAGAGACAAATGCTGCTGGGTTTCCGAGGAGAGGACATGTCCCCTGCCCATTCGTGGGCCAGTCCAGGGAAAGTTGGGGGACAGGAAAACAGAAAAGGTACAGCCAAGGACAGTCCCCATTAGGAACATGACTGTCAGGGGAGTAGGGGCTGCGGGGTGACAGACAGCACCAAGCTTTAGATCTGGGCCCAGCTCAGAAGAGACAGGATTTCTGCCCCGGGGACGACAGCCAGGGCGTCCTTCCTGGAGCGGGGACCAGGAACGACCTCCCCGAAGGGCCAGTAGATGGTGCGCCCCCGTGTGGCGGTGAGAAGCAGCCGCAGGCGCATACAGGAGACCTCTGGTTGCCCAGGCTGCGGGGCCAAGGGAGGCGGAGAGGTCACAGCCCTTTCTGGGCTGCGAAAGCTCCAGGGGTTGGAGGCAGTTTGAAGGGAGGACCCCGAACAATTGTCCTGTGAGGGCGAGGAGGGCAGGGCCAGGTCCTGAACTGCTGAGGCCACAGTCTGGGTCGCCTATGAGGCAGGCCTGGAGCAGCCGCAGGGTACAAGTGGGAGTGGGAGCCTATCCAGCAGAACTAATGAGACGAGTGGGCGTTCGTTAATAGTCTCTGCTGCATAGGTCAACACCAGTGACTTCTGGATCAATGTGACCATGGCTCAACCTGGCATTTCTGTCAACAGAGCGCGCCTGTCCCTGCTGGGGCGTCAACAGTGTCCCCTCCCCTCCCCCTAGCCGCCCCATCCGATCCTCTCAGCGCTCCTGTGATCGGGTGGGGAATAATGAGCCTGGCTGGCAGCACAGCGAGCTACCAGCAGAGGGCGCCGCTGGGAAGCACCTGGCCAATCACCTGGCTCTCCTCTGCCCCCACCCCTGCCCGTCTAGAGGGGTGGGGAACCTCTGGCCCTCCAGGAAATCATTTGGTCACATGTGACTATCACGCACTTGAAGCATAAGTAGTCCAAACTGAGACGGGCTGTGTGTGTAAAACACACACCGGATCCCATCAATTTAATACAAAAGGAATGTCAATCTCATTGCTATTTTTATATTGGTTACCTGTTAAAATGATAATTTCTGAATATGTGGGGTGAGATGAAATTCTTATTAAAATTCATGTCACCTGTTTCTTTTCACTTTTATAACCGGGCTACCAGAACATCTGAAATGACCTATGTGGCTCACATTACATTTCTGTTGGACAGCAGTGGCATAGGCAATGGTTCTCAAAGTGTGGCCCCTAGGCACACACATCAGCATCACCCAGTGTCACAATGCAAATTCTCAGGCCCACCAGCACTTACGGAGTCAAAAACTCTGATAGGACTCGGCAACTTGTGTTTTAACCAGCCCTGCAGGTGATTCTGCTTAAATTTGAGAATCACCAATTTGACCCAATGACCCCACTTCTAGGAATACTGTATTCCAATGGCATAAATGTACCACAGCTTTCTTAGCCACTCATCTCCTGATGGGCATTCGGGCTGTTTCCAGATCTTAGCTACTGTAAATTGTGCTGCTATGAACGTAGGGGTGCATACATTCTTTCTGATTGGTGTTTCGGGGTTCTTAGGATATACAGGCAGTCCTCGGGTTACGTTGGACTCGATGTACATCATTTCGTGGTTACGTCGCCATCTCCCATTTATTTATAAAACAAAAAGTTCCGTCATTTTGATGTATGCACATATGTGCTTTATGTTTTTTTATTATTTCTTTACCACAAGTAAAGGTCAGGAATTGTTATCTTTTAAATTTTTTTTTACTGTTTCCCTTCATTACTGCTGTGTATGTGCTCCATGTGAGTGACGTAGGTGCTTATGTAGGTGGGTTCCAACTTAGGGCGAAAATCGTGTTACTTCGCACCATAGGGACGGATCTCCGACGTAACCCGAGGACCTACTGTATATCATTTTATTAACCAATGTCACCCTAATAAATTCAACACAAAATGTTAAAATTTGTATTAAGAAAAAGATGAGGATTAAATGAGTGAATAATAGGAGCAGTGCCTAGCATGTAGTAAATGCTCAACAAATGTCAGCCGTCCACCCTGACCACGGATGGCCTGGGCCCTGGCTCGGGCCAGGCCTGTGGAGTGTGCACTATTCAGGAGCAGTGATTCTGTTGTTAACTTCCTTCCCAGGAGTCCGCAGCCCAAGCCTTGTTTGGAGCCTGGGGGAGGGGAGCACCCTGCCCAGAGGACTGGCAGGCTGAGGCCAGCGCTGTCCAGAGGCGTGGAGAAGCCTGGACTCCCCCAGTTACCCCAGCAACAGCAGTGATGCCCAAGGCCCCAGCTGAGGGCTGGACCACTCCTCTCCACCACCTGGGAAGGTGCCAAGGAGCCCACATGGAGGCCCAGACTGTCGGTGCTGAAATGGTCCCCATCATTCTGCCCCACCTCCCAGGCCCCACCTTGTGGCCTCCCAGCCTCCAGGCTGTGAAATGAAGAGGGGAGCTGGGCAGCATGGGGAGGGGCACGGAGGAGCCCAGGAAGAGGAGGCAGAGGCTGCTGCAACCCCGTGACGCTGGGTCAGAGGGACCAAGAGCTCTGTCCCTCTGATGGGCAGGCCAGGCTGCTGCCTGCTCTGAGAGCCTGGAGGGCCACCCCACCTTCCCGGGCTCTGGTCTCGGCTTGACCTTCACAGCCACAGGCCCTCACAGCCTTCAGGACTGCACTCCCCTCTGCACAGTGAGGGGTTTGGCTGGATGGAGGGTGGGGAGGCACCAAGCCGCACCTTTCTGGGCACAGCGGCGCGTCCTTGGGAGTGCAGTGGCGAGGGTGCCGGCAGGCCCTGGGGCTAGGCTGCTTGGGTTCAAGTTTGTTTTCTTCCCTCCCTGCCGGGGTGCCCCAATTTAAGATGTTTAGCCTCTGTGCACCTTCGTTGCTGTGCGGTCTCGCAGCGGTGACCAGCACAGAAGTGACACGCTGTGTGGGGCTAATGGAGGTTTCCACCAGGGGCTCAACGGGGCCCGACACGCCGCTAGGGCCGGGGCCCAGGACACCCTGCTCAGGGCAGAGGTAGGAGTCGGAGAGGTGGCCCTGCAGCCCGGACTCTACACTCAGAGCCGGTTCCTTGGCCGCCACATGGTCCCTAGTGCCCACTCCGCGCTCACTGCCCAGTGACCATCTGCTTATGTCCCTGACGCCCCTCCACAGGCCTGGCACGAGCCAGGGCCAAGGCCATCCGTGGTCACAGAGACTCAGAGAGAGGCTGCAGGCTCGGCCCCCACCCCAACTCCCAGGCAGGCGGGGGGCAGAGAGAAGAGGCAGGAAGGGGTTGTAAACAGTCACATGTCAGCACAGCCCCTGGAGACAAAGCATAAGTAGTCTCACTGGGCCCCAGCCCCGGTCGCCCCTCGTGGGGCTGGCGGGAAGGGAGGGTTCACTGAGCAGGACTGGGTTTGGAGATGACACAGGTGGCCCACAGGCCCGGATGCAGCCTTGAAGGTGAGTGGAGAAGCCTGGAGTCCCCCACTCACCTGGGACCTGGGACCTGGGACTTGGGAACTAGGAGTGGCTGGTGGCTTGTCCTGAGCAGGGCAGAGTCAAGCCTTAGGGATGGGTGTCCCAGTACACACAACGCCCCCCCCAAAGCATCCACAGGGGCCCAATGTCATGATGAGGTCCCAGGCGACCAGGAGGCTTCCCCCAGGGCAGTGGTCGGCAAACCGTGGCTCCCGAGCCACATGCGGCTCTTTGGCCCCTTGAGTGTGGCTCTTCCACAAAATACTTCATGCGGGCGCGCACGTACAGTGCGATTGAAACTTGTTGGCCCATGCGCAGAAGTCGGTTTTCGGCCTGGGCGAGTCTATTTTGAAGAAGTGGCGTTAGAAGAAGTGGGGGGTGTCAGTTGGTCGGGGAAGGGAGACATGGTGCAGGTGGACCACGGGATATGCAGCGCGGGGGAGGGGCTCGCGATTCATGCACGAGTGTGGATGGGAGAGTTGGAAGGGGTCTATCTCAGCGAACGTATCTCAATCAGATTGAGGATGTTTTTAGCAAAGGCCAGCTTAGGAGTACCCTAATTAAGTTAATAACAATGCACCTACCTATATAGTTTAAGTTTGAAATATTTGGCTCTCAGAAGAAATTTCAATCATTGTACTGTTGATATTTGGCTCTGTTGACTAATGAGTTTGCCGACCACTGCCCCAGGGTCACCCAGTCCCCCCAGCCAGCCCGCCCTCCCGAGGTACTGCTTCCTCCCAGGCAGCCTGACCCTCACGGGGAGGGGCAGACATGTTCCCACCGATGCGTTCCCGCCCTCTGCAGTGCCTGACTGCGGGGCCACCCTCCTCAGCCACACATTCCTCGGCTGCTCTGGGGCCTTCTGCTCCAGCCCTGGCAGGGCAGGCCTGGTCCCCTCCCTCGGTCCACCGGCCGGGCCTCTGTTAACACAGCCAGGGGCCATGTCTGTCCCTAATGGGTGGCTGCCCTCAGTGCTCAGGGTCCCCAGGCCAGACCGCGTTCATGCCGCTGCTCGGAGGTAAGAAAAGACCAGGACCAACCCTGCAGGGCCCCGGCCCAGCACACACGGGACACGTGAGCAGGGACACACAGAGAACACCGTGTACCTGGCACAGGTCAGTGAGGGCCGCATTCAGATGCGCCACCCTCTACACCACACCCATGGCCACCTCCACCCTCCACTCCGGCGCACGCCCCAGGCACACACAGGCGGAGGGCCCTGCCAGGCTCCGACCCGAGGCAGGACAGCCGGGCCGGACCGCTACCCTCGCCCACGGTCGGGGTCCTCATGGCTGCATATGACGCCCGCGTCCTCCTCGTGTCTGCAGTTGTGCGTGCCCAGGCCCCTGTGCCTGCACTCCAGCAGGGTCTTCTCGTCGCCCGCACAGCGCACGTCATCCAGCAGGATGGGCAGCGCGCGGCCC